GTAGAAGACCGGATGACCTGTATGGCGGTAATGGCCGTAGCGGAGGAAGAAGGGCTCCCACAAGTGACGGAGTAGCAGCGAGCGTACAAAGGGGTGACAGAGGACGAACGAAGGGCGATGAAGTTGCAGGACTGGCAAGGGATGTTGGTACGCAGAGGCCGGGCGTACGTGCCACCGCAGTGGACACGCCGCGTGGTACAGCACTACCACGACAAGGGTGTCGGCACGCACGCCGGCGTGGTGAGGACGTACCGGAGGAGCCAGGAACTGTTCTGGTGGCCGAGACAATTACAGGACATACGAGAGTATATCGCCGCGTGCCTGGTGTGTCAACGAAGGAGAGGCGGCACGGAACGCCTACAGGGTCTAGCACGAGCATTCCCTGCGAACCAGGTGTTTGAGACAATCCATATAGACTACTGGCAAACCCATGGGGAGGGACGGCCCATCATGACCATGATCGACAGAACATCGAGATGGGTGGAAGCAGCGGTGGTGCCGGACAAAACCGGGTATAGTGCGGCGGCGGCGTTGGTGCGCCACTGGATTACCCGGTACGGAATACCATCCCGGATAATATGTGACAACGACCGGGCCTTCACAGGCACGGTCATGAGAGGACTACTAGACCTACTGGGGGTAACCCTGGCGACCATCACACCGTACCACCCAGAAGGAAACAGCCCAGTAGAGTCCTTCCACCGTCACCTCCGTAAGCATTACCAACGGGTGAGGGACCACAGCACAAGGGGGGAAGAGGAGGCACTAGCACTCACCATGTTCCTCTACCGCACCGCCCACCACACCGCACTGGGGATGACCCCGGGGCGCTGGCTGTTCGGGGTAGAATTGGTAGTACCAGAGGAACGAGAAATACAAGACCAGCTCCGGAACCCAAATATGCAGCGACTACAGTGGCTAACAGGAGCAAGAGAAGCGACCATTGAGGAGGCAGCCAAGGTGGCCCAAGAGCGGGCCGACAAACGGAACGAAAGGAGGAAGCCCAGCCGACTCGCAATAGGGGACATAGTCTTAGTGAGGGACCCGACAGTGAAGGAGAAGGGATGGGGATTACCCCACCGCATCGTAGCCATTAGTGAGGCCGGCCACCGAGCACAAGTGGAGGACCTCGTAAGCGGCCACAAGGAAGATCGACACGCGAGCGTGCTACGGAAAGTGGTGGCACCACGGGACAGGCACCAATTACGACAATGGATGAAGGAGTACCGACGAGAGGGAGTGTCAATCACGGAGGAGGAACTACAGCGGAGGCTAGGAGGGACGGAAGCGGCAGAAGGAACAGGGGCGCCGCCGACGAATTACTACGAACTGAGCTCAGACAGCGAGGCGGTGGTGGTGGAGCGAGGAACAACACCCGAGGACGCGTGTAGCACCCCGGCAAGTCAAGAGGGAGTAACGGGGGCAGAGCAGGGGGAAGAGGAGCCCCGAGGAAGAGGCAGGAAGCGGCGACGGGAATTCCAAGAAGGAAGGACCTAACAGCAGAGGAGCACAAAAAAAAAAGAAAGAAAAATTTTAGAGAGAGAAACAGAGAACAAGATGGGTACGAGAGGCTACGGGCGAATGATGGTGACACAAGGGCCCAGAAGGCCGACGATACTAGACCGGGCGACCATCCTGGACGGAACGGCTTGCGTCGGCAAGTCGACGCTGCTGAGGCGTTGAAGGAAGACGGTTACGCGGCTGTAGTCGGGGACTACATGGAGGACTGCCAGGACTACCCCGTCTTCAGGGAGAAGAGTGAGGACAAGTTCGTGGAGCTGGCCTACCTCGCCTTCCAATGGGCGAAGGTCAGGCCGGGCCACCTCCACGACCGGGGCCCCATGAGTGCCATGGCGTACTCCCTCATTCTCGACGTCGTACGAGGGGAACGCCAGCTGGCAGGGGCGTTGGCAGCAATCGAAGACATGCCACCACAGGTGTGGACGGCGATGGGGCAATGGAGGACGGTTGTGCTCCTCGAGGAGGACGAGAGAGAGGCAGTACGCCGGATGCGAAGAAGGGCGAACGGCATCGACGTAATGACAGTAGAGTACGTCAGGGTTCAGAACGAGATCTTC